AGGATATTTTGCATTCCCTGGCTGGTGGGATGCTGGCTCACCCTGTGTTAGCACAGCTTCACGGGGAGTTTGATTTAATGGGGGCTGGGAGCTGCTTCCCCTCCTGGGGGGCTCCATTCCCAGCCTCACACCCAGCCCACACGTTCTGTGGGGCCTCTGTGCTGTCATTTGCTGAGTGCTTTAATAATTCATAATGCAACTTGCAGCCCCCATTTAGCAAAGCACACAGTGGGGCTGACACTCCGAGTGCTTTGTTGTGGCAAGGTTGTAGAGGTGATGTTCTCCAGGGGTGTCTTTGTGCTGTGGCTTTGCTTATTTGGGTGTTAATTCCCTTGGCAGTGTTTATGGGATAAACATGGTTCTCAGGAGGGGTGGGGACAGACTTCAGAGGGGATGGTACAGGGTGTTCTCAGTGAGCCTGAATGTTAACCAGAAGGCTGCTTGGTTTTCTTGGTGCTGCAGCTAGCTCCACTTCCATATCGAGCACCCACAGCCGAGCTGCAGCTTTCCCTTGTGCTCATTGGGAGAGCCTGTGTTTCCATGGCTCCTGGGTGAAATATTGAGCCAGGCAGCCCCATGCAGTGGAGAGCAGCAGCAGAAAAACCTGCTGTGTCTGTGTGTGCTGTGGTGCTGGCACCAGTGTGGCTCCAGGACAGCTGGAGGCAGCTGTGACATCTCCTCCAGTGCACGAGCCTCTGGGGCAGCCAATAGTGTCATCATGCAGAAGTAAATTTTGATGGGGTCAGCATGTTCTACCTGGGTTTGCACCCTTGGAATGGGCTTGGTGATGTGGTAACAACCACCCCACACCACAGGCCAGAGCAGGGCTCCTGCTCCCTTGGATGGCCTTGGGAAACAGAATCTCACATTTCTTCATTAGGAGAAAGTCAGGGCTGCATGGTGGGGTCTCACCTCGTGTGCTCTTCCAGACTCTCTTGGGTTATTAGCTGTGTTCCCAGATGAAACACTTCATTAAGCAGGAGCTGCAGCAGCTGCACATAAATACTGGCACCTCAAGAAGATGGGGCCTCATGGATGGGTGTAGCTCTGGGATGGCAAATGACCTCAGGACACAAGTATTGGTGCCACCTTTGCCCCATCCAGGGCAGTGTGGGAGCAGGAATCTGGAGACAGCCTGCCTTTGGGTGCCAGGGAAACCCTCCAGTGCCAGAGCCTGCCCCACTCACCCTCTGCTGTGATTACACAGCAAGAGTTTTCTTCTTCTCCAATCTAAAACTTTCATTGCAGGAGTCAGCAGACCTGGAGAATAATGTGTTCCCTCCTCTTTGCAAGCATTTTTTTCTGCCTTTGAAGGTTGTTACTATATCCCCTTCAGCTTTCCCTCCTCTAGACTAAACAACCTCTGCTCTTTAAAACTTTATTCCCAGGTCATGTTTTCTAGATGAAATTTTTTTGACAAATGGTTATTGCTATCCCCTGATCTCACTGCGGTCAGACTGGAGCACTCTTGGCTTGTTCCCACTATGCCTCCTGAGGTCTTGTGGCTCCACGGAGAGCCATAGAGAGGGACATTTTGACACCTTAGAAAGACTAATCTGGGCCTAGCCCTGCTCATGATGCCTTGGCATAAATGTTAAATTCAGCCTGGAGACACCTTTGTGATCTGCAAGGATTCTAAATTGCATCCTGGACCTGTAACCTGCTGTGGGCACTCAGAGCCATGCGGAACTCTCAGTGCCTTCAGCTGGAAAAGCACAGCTTTGCTCCTGAGCAAGTGGAATAAATCCTTCACTGTCACCCTGCGCAGATAAAATAAAGTTTCTCTCTCCCAGCTGCATGGCTTGCTGGGTCACTTCCAAGTGTGCCTCCCAAAAAAAAAGGCTTGTGAATGTGCAGCCTGCCCAGTCTGCCTGGGAAGACACATTTTGGCCTCAGCATAGAGCCTTTTCCACTCTGTCATTGCCACTGGATGTTGGACTGGCTTTGCATCGGAGCCTCCTGAGCACAGGCTCCATCACACCCCGAGTTCTGTGTGCTGGCAACAGTGATGGACATGTTCAGTGCTGGATTCCTCTTACAATCAGCATTTCCACAGCAAATCAAGATCTCAGAGTGTTTGTGCTTAATTATAATCAAGCTGTCTGAATGATCAGCCAGAAACATCCCCATGACTGATTAACCTCGCACTCCGTGCGTGAGCCATTCATGTGGTCTCAGGATCCTTGTCTGAGCTCACTGCCCCGTGCTGCCTTCTAAGGGGAAGAGACTGAAGCACTCATGGTTGTCTGCTGGAGGTGTGTGAGGGGCTGCAGACCCCCTCCTGCACAAACTTAACCTCTGGCTCTGCCTTTCCTGAGCTGGAGCACCTCGCTTATCACAGCTTGCTTTACTCCACACAAAATGAAACAGGTTTCCCTCCTGGTCGTCCTGCTTGATCTTGGCCACATCATTGCTGTCTGTGATGTGAAGGGTGCAGATATGTCTTGTTTAATTCAAAAATACTGTTTCACTCACATCTCCAGTGCTTGTGCCCAGACACTCGTTCTGTTCTTGCTGGATGCAGGGCCACAGGAGGGAGATGGCTGTGAGGGGCAGCTGAGACCCACGGGTACCACCTGATGTGGCTGGAGCTCACGCCACACCCCTGAGTGAGGCAAGGTCAGCCCCTTTTTAATGATGCTGCCAAAATCAGTGTGTTGGTGCCACAGAAGCATCCTGTGGTGTTGGAGCTGTGTTTCTGCTCAGCGCTGCTGTCGCTCGTCCTTCTTGCGGAGCTGCAGCAGCTCCCTTAATGAAGTGCTGCATAAATGTCACCGAGGGCTCATTTTCCTTGGTGTCAGCTATTGTGTGACAGATGTGATTAAGGCCACACTGGGTTGTCAACAGCCATGATTCTCATGGTGATCAGCTCTGCCGGCAATCCCGCTGTTCCTCTGGCTTTTCAGGAAGTCTCTGTGCATGTTCCCAAGTTGCTTTTCCCTCCCCTGGGGCTGCTGGGCGCCTCCACAGTGGCACAGGAGGGACATGGGGAGCAGTGCCTGTTGTGACAGATGCCTCTACTGGGTTCACAGGCAGAAAATTGCAGCTCCAGTGAGGAGGAGAAGCATGATGGGAGTGTGGAGTGTGGGGGGACAGGTTTTCAAAGGGGACAGGAAGCCCATCCACCAAGGGCAGTGGGTGGGGTTGGGCTTGCTCACTCAAACTCACTTAGGAAGGAAAAAAGAAAGCATGAAGTTGACTTGAAAAGTGTGTCCTTTAGAAAAAACAACCCATGGCTTTCCTTTCTTTTAACCCTTAGTTTCTTTTTAACACAGCCTCTCCCCCTTCCTGTGGCATTCAGGGATCCTTCACTTCACTTTCCTCTATAATCATAAACTCCAAAATCATAAACTCCAAAAACATTCCCATTAACAACAGAAAAACAAAGAAGCGGGGACTCAGGGAGCAAAACCAAACCCTGTGAGGGCCAGTAATGGCTAAAGCTCTCCCTGCTGCCACCAAAAGCAGGATTTGGAAAACTCTGCCCAGCTTTTCAAGATCTGTTGATCTTTTCAAGGCTGAGCCCAAGGAAACCCTAAAGCAGCTCATGAATGGGGTTAGTGACAGCAACCCTTGTTCTTGTTCAGGTTTAGCAGCAGCAGCTAATGCGAAAGGAGCCGAGCTCTTGATGAAATGCAAACAGCTTTTGTTATGGGAAAAAAGGCTTTATTCTCAAATTGTGGGCTGGGTTGTTATTTTTTATAATTAATTTACAAAGTCGTAAGTTGTTGGTGATTGCATAAAGGCTGTGTGTCATGTTGGAAATTCTGCTGACGGTGCTGTGTTGGGTCTGCACTGCGATGTTGTCGGAGAGGGACGGGGAGAAGGGTGCCAAAGCAAACATTCCACGTTTGATTTGGGATGGAATGGGCTTTCTTTGAAATAACTTGCGAAACATCTTGTCCTGAGCTTGCAGTGCAACCAGTGACTGCTGCCAGTTGTCAAGCCAACAGGGATAGCCAGAAGATAGTCAGGGAACACCCATGAAACAGGCCAAGGACTGTGGGGTGCACTGAGTTTCTTGTTAACAGGCAGGTGCTGAGCAGACACCCCTGCAACCAGTGACTGCTGCCAGTTGTCAAGCCAACAGGGATAGCCAGAAGATAGTCAGGAAACACCCATGAAACAGGCCAAGGACTAGGGCACCGTGGGGTGCATTGAGTTTCTTCTTGACGGGCAGGTGCTGAGCAGACACCCTACTTCTTCCCTGCTGCCAGGTGAAGGCTCCTGGGCTGGAGGAAAGCACCTTCAGGAGCTCAGGGCTCGTTGGCACATTGGAGAGGTCTAATGGGTCACCTTCCCAAGCAGGGCAGCCCATCTAGCTCACATTTCTGGCTCCTGCCCATGCACAACTCCCTGGAAATCTGCAGGGATAGTCTGACCCTCCCACTGTCCTGCTGCTCACAGGGAGCTCCAGCAGACCCTCTGGTGCTCGGGTGTTTCCTTGCTTCCTGGGAAACCCAGCTGCAGCTTTGGTCTCTGCACGGGTGTCATTCAGGGGAGGTGCAGCATAGTGACAACCCTGAATTAAGTCAGTGGCCGTGTTTTCATCTGCCACTGACATTGTTTAGGCCTCCAAAATGTGTTGTCATTGCAGAAGGTGTGAGTGCTGGATCATGGCACCCTAGTTAGCTCAGCGTGCAGGAGGCCTCAGGCTACCTCTGACACATGATTTCTCCCTGGCATCGTTGGTTATTCCTATCAAGTCGCAGACAGTGTAGACATATGGGAAAGGAAGTCGTGAAAAGCAGCTTGGAGTCCAACTCAAAACACCTTAAATTGGTGTGATTTCCCCAAAGGAGGAACTGCCTGCTCTTAAAAAAAAAATTAAAGTCCTTCTCTTAAAAAGGGCTCTTCAGGACAGGATCAATACCACTGAGTTAGTTTTTAAAGCAAAAGTCTTGGACCAAAACCAGCCTCCACCCTGCATCTTGGCTGACAGAAAATTCTCTTTCTTAAGTTCTTTTTTTTTCTCTTCCCTTTACCCTTTTCCTGCAAAGGCCTCTCAGCAGACGGCGGAGCCAAGCGCCAGGAGCACCTCTCCAGGTTCTCCATGCCCGACCTGAGCAAAGACTCGGGCATGAACGTCTCAGAGAAGATGAGCACCATGGGCACCCTGAACTCCTCCATGCAGTTCCGCAGCGCCGAGTCCGTGCGCAGCCTGCTGTCGGCGCAGCAGTACCAGGACATGGAGCCCACCCTGCACGACCTCGCCAGCCCCCTCGGCTACCCAGAGCGGCCGGCGCACGGGCGGATGCACCAGAGCTTCGACTACGGCAGCGGGGTGCCCGGGGGCAAGCTGGGGGCGCAGGAGATCCCGCGGCACACCCCCATGAGCGAGCGCACCCGCCGCAGAACCGTGCTGCGCGACGACGAGCGGCACTACCGCCCGCACCGGCCCCGGCGCTCCCGGCGCTCCCGCTCTGACAACGCCCTGCACCTGGCCAGCGAGCAGTGCTACCGCCTCAAGGAGAGGCCCTCGCTGCGAGCCAGGGACGACTACGACCCCTTCGTGCACCAGAGGAGCTGCAGGGAGGCCATGGAGCAGGGTCCCTGCAGGGATGTCTACGGCCACTGTCCCCGGACGGTGTCGGATCTTGCCTTGCAGAACCACTTGGGCGAGAGATGGGGGCCCTACTTTGCCGAGTACGACTGGTGCTCCACCTGCTCCTCCTCTTCGGAGTCCGACAACGAGGGCTACTTCCTCGGGGAGCCCATCCCGCAGCCTGCCCGCCTGCGGTACGTGACCAGCGAGGAGCTGCTGCACAAGTACGGCTCCTACAGCATGCCCAAGTCTTCCACGGTGGGGGCCAGGGGACAGTTGCACAGCCGGAAAAGACAGAAGAGCAAGAACTGTATCATATCCTAATGGCATCCTTGCCAGGCACCTTGGGAGAATGTAAATTAACTCACGATCTTGCACTGTTTTAGATCATGTAAGTGCTTTTATTGTAACAAAAAAAAAAAAAAGGCCCGAAGAGTAGGGATTTGTTAAGAAGGTTGTAGACCGGCTTCTATAAATAGTCATAATCCTGGGCACAGTGAATATATTTTGCACATCTTACTTTGGAGATAAAAATTTTAAAAGTTCACTTTAGCCTGTAATATTTACCCAGTAGTTTCTCTTCCTTCTCCCAGATATTGCCCCCCCTTGAGCTCTGTTTGTCCGTACGTTTTGGTTGCCACTGTTGACTCTCAGCATCAGTTTGCTGGTAGGTTTTGCTTTCCACCACATTTTTGTTTTCCATTAGCCATGTTGGTAGGTGATTTGTCTCTTGGACAGTGTGGGAGCCTAAGTTATTTCCATGATTGTTGTAAATGCGATGTAAATGAGAGTTTGGAGAAAATATTTTTGTATTTTGTAATATCAGAGGAATTTCTATATCTTAGGAGTCACTGGGAAAATGCATGCACGTTCAGAATTGTTTTCAGTCAGAGCTAACCAAACAGTACTTTGGAACCCCCTTTCCATTTCATCATCGCTTAAGTTTATCAGTGAGAGTCTGAGTTTTCATTGGTTTTGAGGTTTTTTTTTTTGTTGTTGTTTTAACCCTTCTGTTTATTTGTTTTGATCCTGGTCAATAAACAGAATGTTTTTTGATTCATTAAATCTTGACAAGCCTCAGTGGCATTTTGAATCCTATGATTTGCAGGTACACTCCATCAGTCAGATACAGGAACCCCTGACAGCTGCAAAAGGGCCTTTTTAAAAAATTATTATTATTATTATTATTACTATTATTAAATAGGAAAGACCAGAACTACCAAATGTCTGCAACATTGTAAATTACCAAAGCTGGAGAAGGAATTTCACACCTCTGTAGAGAACGCTGAAGTTACTAAACATTGAACTATTATTTGGAGTAAATAAAGTGTAAATGGTGCAATTGTGTGATGTCAGCATGACGTTGTTTTGAATATAGACTTGTCTTATGGTGCTCTAGTCTCCTGGGTTAACTGCTGTTCATTACCAAGTGGAAGTCTCAGTATTGCCTCCTGCCTACACATTTGAGAACACCTGCAAACTGCTCCCCACGGGCCCCTCCTGCCTGGCACGATTCCCTGGGGCTGTTTGAGGCCAGGGCTGTCCCTGGGGGGCTCAGCCCAGCCCCTGGCCGTGGCAGAGGGCCCTGCATAGGGCTCAGCTGTGTTGTATTCTGGTGGATGTGAGTTTGTTCTCTGTGTGCTTTAATCCATTGGGGTTCTGCCATCCCAGCTGCAAGCCGAGGCCAGGTTGTCCCAGTGCTTCCCATAAAGGAGCAGGTTTGCAAAAGGGGCTCTGGGCACCCAGGGTGCCTGTGGGGGTTAAGATAAGGCTGGGCTTAGAGCCACAGGAGGGCTGAGAGCTTAACCAGCTGCACTGCCCTCGCCCCGTGGGCTGCTGGCACCTCAGGGTGTCCCTGCACCTTGAGCCAGCCCCTCCCTGCAGCCTGGGAATGTGGATCCCACTGCAGGGATGGCACTGGCAGCCCTGGGCACACACAGGGACACCCCCATGCCTACTCAAAGCAGCAGATGCAGAAAAATCTAGAAGATGGATGTCTCCATACCACAGACTATTGCTAGGAATTTTTTTGTTGTTTGTAAAGGACAATGTGATGATTATTATTCCTTTAAAAAGAAAAAAAGAAATGATACTTAAATATATTTAAAAAAATGTTTTTTTCCAGTTGGAATAAATGGAAATATTCATCCAAAGGGAAGAGTCTTGTGTACATTTTTTGCTCTTAAGGAGTGTTGGTTAATCATGAGTAGAAAACTTGATTTTTACTGAGCTGGTCTTGAAATGAAAGCACAAAAACCAGCTCAGCTCCATCGTTGGCGTGGTTTTGATGAAGGAGCTTCTCCTGCACACCACACACCTTCCCCAGGGTTGGTGACCCAGTGTTGTAACACCTGGACCCATTATTTGTTGTTAAAAAAAACACATAACAGATTCGTTAAGGCTGAAAAAAACCTCTAAAATCTTTGAGCAAGAACAACCCACCAGCACCATGTTCACCACTAAAGGATATTCCCAAGAGCCTTATCCACACAGCTTTTGAAATCTTCACCTGGTGAAAGCCAGCACAGCTCAGCTGAAATCCCTGCTGGGCCTCTGGCACACTGGGGGAGGCCATCAGCCTAAAATGTATAAATAACAGCCTTTTCTTAGAAGTTCACAGATCTTCCCATGTTTTCCAAAGCAGACCTGTTAAGCTGGATAGGGGTATTGCTTACAGCAACAAATATGACACTGTAGCAACAGGTTATTCTATAATTGGAATTTAATATGTACAGTTTAATTCATTGTCAGTGATTAAAGGCACTGCTGTCAGCTCTGGTACAGCTGAGCTGCTCTTGTGCAGCAGGAGCTTGGATTGCTCAGAAAATGGTGAAAAACAAATCCCAGCCTTTCCCTTTTCCTGCTTGCTGCCTCTCCCCAGGGGTAACAGAACAAGTTTAGAGACTCCTTGCAGCAGAATTGCAGCACTCTGCACATGCAGTTTTTCTACTAAAATCCCAGGTACAGTGTCTCTTCACACAATGGTTTTGCTGCTGGAAGCAACTCTTGGTTCTGCTCACTGCAGAGCATCTCTGCATCCCTGCAATGCACCCCAGTTTTAATGCAGTGCTGGAATTGGAGCAGATGGGCAACAAACAGGGGAGAAAAGAGTGATGTTCCCCTCTTATGGACCCTTCACCAGCACCACAGAAAAGTGTCAGATCACATTTTCTAGGAAAGTCAAAGTTGGTACAAATTTCAGCAAAAAATGCAAGTGAAGCTTCCAAACCCTTTTGATTTTTCATATGGGCTCCAGAAGTCCAGTTCACTTTGAGGCACGTGATTGAAAAAGAAAAAAGAAGGGGTTTTTTTCTGCTTAGCCCACTTGGAGTATGATTAACCATTTCTGACAAACCCACTGAGCTTGAAGGATGGAGCTACAAGTCTGTAAAATCTTGCTCCATTGCCATCTGGCCCTGCTGATTCCCCTCCGTGTGCCCATGGAAGCGGGGCCCGTGTGCTGACGTTTGCTTTTGCGTCTCCAGACCTGATGAAGGTGACCCCACCTAAAGCTCAGGGTGAGTGTCAGAGGCTCCCAGTTCCCCTGGGGTCACCTGCAGTGTCCCTGGTTTGGCCAAGCAGGAAGGTTTTTGCTGGGCTCCTCCAGACAGCTGTGCTGCCACAGCCAGCCTGGCACACTGTCACTGTTGCTTACAAAAATAATTAAATCTGATCAGCTCTGTTGCTACCACAATTTTCTTCTGTAAAATATCTCTTTTATCCCCCTTTTTTTCTCCAGGGAGTCCTTAGCAAAACCCACCCAGTGTTACCATGGGATGGGCTGGTGTTAACCTCCATGGCAAAGCCAAGGTTTGCATCACATACTTGGCCATGACTCGTGTGGTGGTGGAGCACAGCATCCTTCACACCCGTGTTCCCCAGCAGACATGGGAGGCTCTCTGAGGTCCCTGCAACACCTCAAACAGCCCAGCATGACAACATGCTGGCCCAAAAACCACTACAGCTATGCAGGGAAGCTTCTAGCACACCTAAGGCTTTTTTTTTTTCAGGAAGCCAAAAGCCTTGAACCTGGCAGATACAGCAGAATGAGATGAGCAAAGCCTGTGCAGAAGGATCAGAAGTGTGAAGTTAGAAATATTCAGCAGCACGTTGTCTGGAAATTATCATCCACAGATAATCCCACATTTGCTAAAGGCCCAAGTGACTCTGGCACAGCCCAGAGCACTCTGGCTTTGAAAACCTAGTTGATTATGAAGGGAGGGACAGCATTGCTGAGTGGAGGGTTAATAAATTACCTCAATTTGGCAAAGACTAACGGCTCCTGAGAAACAGACACACATTTACCCTCACAGTTTAATACCCCAAAAAATCCATATGCCTATGCAGTTGGGGGCTGGCAGCACCCACCTGGCACTGCTGCTGTGCCCCCTCAGCTAGTCTGGACTCCTGGGCTTTGAACTGCCCTGGTATCTGATGAACTTTGCTCTTTCAGGCTGAAAAAAGCTCCCAGTTCCTTGCATTTACATACAATTTTGCTATTCCTGAAATCTAGGCTGTCCTCGTTCTCCTGAAGATTATCTGCCACCTATTAGATGACCATCCTCCATGTCCAGAAAAGCTCATTAACTTAGAGCAATTCCAGAGGATTTTATTTTAAAGATTAGCCTTTTTTTTCCTTTATTTTATGCAATACACTTTTAACCTAGATCCTTAAAACTATTTAGGAATTCAGATCCAGTTTGAGTACAAAGGGCACTCCCTGAAGAGCTGGGGCCCCTTTCCAAAAGCGTCCACAAGTTTGTCTGAATCTCTGAGGAGGGAAGAAAAATTAAAGAGTTCAAATTATTTGAATTTGCTGCCTCTGCCCATCAGCAATGGACTCCAGTGCTGTGCTGTGTGTTCCCTCTCTGTGTTAAAGCATCCTTTATCTGCAGCCAGGCTCCATCCTCAGCTGGGAGGAGCAGAGGAGGCCAGGTCACAGGATTACCCACCCATGGGACACTGGCCCTTAGGTCAGTGACCAAAGGCAGCCCCACCTTTCTGCTTCTTCCCTTCTTATTATGCACTCAGCAAATTACCAGTTTCCTTGTTCTAGGCAAACCCAGTCAGTTGCTAAAGCATTCTCAGGAGAGTTTTCCCCTTGTAAAAGCAAATATTTATATCTGCTGTGCTCTTAGAGGCTCTGGATATGATCAACTCTTAAGGCAAGATTTAGCTGAAAGAGATGATTTATTAAAATGGATAAACAAAGCCCTGTGAAGCAAGCTAATTCAGTCTAAATAAAGCATTAAACTCTGAAGAGCACACGTCAGATCACAGTATATGTATGTATGTATATCCCATGTAATCCCTGCAGTCAAAAGCACAGCCCCCTGGACTGGGATCCCAAACCAACACCCAGGACAAAGCAGCCCTGAGCCAGGCAATGAATACACCAGGACATGCCCTGCTCTCTGCCAAACCCAGCCAGGCAACCCACTCCCACCCCAAGCACAGGGATCCCTCCTGCCAGCCCTGCGTGTGCTCCGTGCCTCAGTTTCCCCATCTCCAAACCTCCACCACAAT